GTTTAGTTTTTAGTTTAGAGTTTAGACTAAAACATTCAGAATATTCAGAGAATTTATTCAGTGTATAATTCTAGAGAATGCTTTGTTTTCTCCTCTGAAGATGGGGGGAAAAAATAAAAATAAAACATTCAGACGGCGCTCCAGCGTCATCCAGGTTAACTTCAAGGGTAAAACAGAAAAATCCTTCCAAAAACCTATGTGACTTTCTCAACAACAAAAGGGAAATAAACAGTAAAAACTGTGACTTTAATTCATTTCAAAATTTATTGTTTCAGTGCTTCCATTTTAAAATAAATAGATGGCATGGAATCAAAGATAAAACCCAACAAAGATGAAAAAATAGTCTAGTATAACTAACAAAAAAAAAAAGAGACAAAATGCAAATACAATTTTCAGTTAATGTTTTCAGTTAACATTAAAATAAAAAATAGACTCAAATACCATTAAAGTGTGGACCACCTCCCCTACACAGACCCCCACCAGAACACGGCAGAAATCGAGTACTACCAAGTACTAGCATGTTCTCAGTAGTATCACATCAGCAGAAATGTTTTTTTTTTCATGTCAGTATTTTCTATTAGTGTTTGTTTTAGTGTCCACACTTTTCTGATCATTCTACAGCAGTTTGATGTAAAGGGACAGTCAGGACATTTTTTGTAGTGGGGTTTACAGGAGCAACAACAAATTTTTTTTTTTTTTTTCCAAACCATTGAAGCAGACCTTATAAAAACCCACACTAGCAGTGGTGTTCCACTGTGTTGAACTTGAACGTCACTCATTCTTCACCACTGAACTTATATTTATTAATGAATCATGTATAATTTCTACAAACAACTACGGTTATGCAGCTTATAGCAAGAGTTCATTTGAATCTGTAGTAAAAAATAGGAATCCGGTGCAGAAGAATGAGTGCGTTGTTGTCGAAGCATCACAAACTTCCTGACAGATTTCATACCACTGCTGGTTGGATTGTTATTTTTAAAATCAAGGCTTCTGGTCATTTGCGAAACAGATTCTGTTTTTGGTTGTTTTGGCTGCACCGTCACACAGACAGACACAGAAGCTTAAGACCCCGTGATCAGAAACCCCCTCAACTATGCCCGCTTTACGAATCACGACCCTCACACCCATTAGTGAGACATCACTTAAAACGAGAAAGTAAAGTGCTTGACACTAACATTCTAAATCACATGACCACT